CAACGTACTGACTAATGTTATCTTTACTGGCACTGGGGGTCTACTGGGATCACACTGACCGGAGATAGCTCATGTGCATGGCAGAACAGGAGAGAGAGATATCCCTGGATGTAGTAACACTGCAATCAGTGTGAGAGAATGGAGAAGCGGTGATTACCAGCACTGGCCCACCATTTCCTCCTTGTGGTCGCTCTCTTTAAACCACATCTTCAGCCAGAAAAAAAACACAGCTGGTTTGTTGACAAGCTCCTTTGTGTACAAAGCAAATCACGGGGATTTACCCTCCACAAAGACAAAAAGTAGACTGAAACTAAATATAACTAGTCAGAAAAAGACTTGTTTATGCTGTAGATTTTGTTTTTACAATGGTTGGACTGGTGCTTTACCCAAGCAGTTTCAACAATTTTGGCTTACGGTCAAACACTGCTCTGCTTTTTGCAATCTCATAACAATGTTCAACAGAAAACACATTGGAATGATCAATGAAAATAAATTCCTGAAATGTGTGGATAATTTAGTAAAAAACAGTAAAAACCTCCTGAACAGTGAACACTGAAGGAATTCCAAAGCTCTGTTCAGACAGAGGGCTCGGCGAAGACGGAGCACCTGCCACAGGATGCGAAGACGCTGTCTGCGGACTTCACTACAAGCTAATTGGCTGTTAAAACAGTTGACATGCTTTACATTCTAAAACCAACCACTGGTGATTTGACCAGCTGAGTTGCAGGTGACACAATCAGCCGGCTTGAGTCGAGCTCAGACCGGCCAGTTCACACCGCTGCAACTTTTCTCTACAACATTCTAAAACGATTTCGTCTCGTTGTCAATCTTTCGTCTGAACGTGGCTTAACCAGGAGAAGTTTCAGCTGGTTGCAATCTGCAGTCCTTACTGCTAGACACCACTAAATCCCCCTAAATCTTACACACTGGACCTTTAAGACCCAAGGACGGGCAAACCCTTCACTAGTAATTTTGGGTTCAAACTTCGGCGTAACACAATAACACCCTTAAACCTGTGTCTGCAGCTGTTGAATATCACAGAACCTGTGCTGATGAACATGCACACACACTCAGGTCTGACCTTTTCACCACTTCCCTTAATTACTCCACACACACACACAGACACACACACATATATTATGCCAGATGTGGAGATCAAAGGAATTCCTGCTGGTGTGGTATGTGAGCCATTCTGGAAAATATAATGAGGAGTCAAAGCAGAGGTACAGTACAGGTGTGGCTGGACAGACCAAAGAAATATCTCCCTCCTGGGGCAATTTATTAGTTCCCCCTCTGCCAGCACTATTTTGGTTAGGGGTGGTGGGGCTGAGGAAAACATACTTCCACTAGCTAAGCTAATGCATTTTTTGGAAAATGTGTAACTTCATAGCTGTTACAGCGAAATGTGTATATTGCTAATGGGGCATCACTTGCTGCTTAGGTAATGCAGCTTGTCGAGCTAGCTAGCTGAAACAGTTTGGCTGACACAAGTGTTTGGTGTAATAACATGATTAGCTTAGTTTTTTGGTATCTTTAAAGGTTCAATCACATTTAAATAATTTAACTGACATGTTTATTTAACCCATTCAGATCCCATGTCTGTTCCAATGGACATTATTTTTCCAGGATGTGTGGATCTATGATTACTATCATCTGAGTGCAAATATACAGACTCATTTAATGAAATGTCTAGAGGCCAATCACACGGTTTCCACATTATCTAAATTGGACTGCATAGAGCCACGTCCCCTTTTTTAACAAGTATGGCCGACATAGGTTCTGATAATAGCTAGATACCAGTCCCCAAGATGGAGCCAATCCATTCCATGGGAGATGCTTGCCTGATGCATATGGCAAAAAAAGTTTTCTAGCTTTTGGGTTACATCGGCGGTATGCAGCCCACTGAATATGCGCAGTAGTGTTTCTCCTGCTGGCTGTGCCTGCAAGATCAATTTTAATTTTTATTTATGTTATCATTTAAATAATTAAACTATATATTTTGGGCGGGGCAACACAATGGTTTGAGTTGAAGGTGTGAGGAAGAATAGTATCAGTAACATTGTTAACACTGTGCTACATTACAGAGAAATACAAAACCGTACTAATGAACCTTCATTAATATAGGCCTATATTTTATCTACAAGTGCACGTCACACACTGAGCGAGCCACCTGTTAATGACGCTGTCAGCAAAGCAGTAATGATTGTGCTAAGTGGCTAATGGGCATGTAGCTACTTCCGTGTTTCAGATTATACATCATGTTTGTAGTCGACCAATGAAGATGAGTTTACATATCACCTTGGGTTCGTCCTTCACCTTCTCAAAATGATCCCACACTTTGGATTTCCTGCCCGACATGTTATTAACTAGCCTGTGGAATAACCGCACGTACCAGCCCTGGAAATTAGGGGCTGTACACATGCCACATTTTTCTGGGTGCTACTCTTGTGCCAGATGTCAAGAGCACGGCGGAGGGTTGCCGCTGAATTTGCTACCTTAACAAGCATCGTATAGCCTATTGACCTGAATCCTGAGAGCAGAGCTGATCTTCTTCCAGGTGCTGTTTATAAGTGTGTAGGCCTATTGTCCGTGGGACAGATGTAAAGCTCTGGGTAGCCCAACTTTTCCGTATTTATCAGACTGAATATTTACAGAAGAAAGGAAAGATATGTCGGCTGTGATTGGTTTGGTTTGTATTGGTTTCCTGTCTGACTGCTGAGCGTGGCCAATTCCTGTGTCTGTCCTTTCAAATTAAATACCCACATGGTCCGGTCATATAAGTTTTGATTTATTTGGACAGCTCCTAATAGAGTTTCACATTTATTTATTTATTTATTTTCCCTCTGACTAAGCGACCGATGAAATCTTGCCAACTACTGACCTTTCTGGTCGACTATTAGGGGGCAACCCTAGAAACCTTGCGCCTCTTAGTCTGGTCATGTAATGGGCCGAATTGGGCCCTTTGGTGGCCAGATGTGGCCCACAGGCCGCATGTTTGACAAGCCTGGTTTAGAATTAAAATATTGTCATTTTTACTAGATGATTTTTAAGATACTTTGTCCATTGGTATGGACAGACAAAAAAACATAATTAAGTATCCCATTTTATGAATGCATTTAGAGTTTAAAACCTCCATTACAATATTACAATATTTATTTGTGTTTGGAACATAATAGGGCTCTGAAGGGGTTAAATATCATATGTAGCTTAGCTATACCAGTGTCTTAATGGTTTAAATTAACGTTACATTTGAATCAACGTTAAATTTAAGTCTTAACGGTCGTTTAGCTAGCTTAACCTGTTCTACATAGGACCGTTAGCTAACCTAAATTAAATGTCACAAATTAACTATGACCTTAATATTATATCATACTATATCGATAACGTTACTTAGGGGAAAAAAACTATGGTAGACAGTGAGTAAAAACTTAATTTTGAACACGGTTTAATCCCTGTAAAGTTTACAGATAATATTATAATTAAATATGAAGAGTAAAAAAGCCACAGCAGATTAACGTAACCAAAAATCATTGTAGTAATACACATATAACGTTACACTTAGGTTTACATTTATGTGACAGTTTAAATGTCATATATAGATGTATTTTACACAGAGTGGTAGTCTTACCTAAGAAGAGGCAGAAGAGATCCACTCCGACCAGTAACTTTCTCCTGCTGTGGTCTTTGCAGTTATTGTTGTTGAGTGAACTCCCGCCGTTCCTCGTCTCGGCTGCCATACTTTTCTCATATATCAAACAGCGTTGCATTTAAAACGTGTTGTGTGCTTCAAATTAAAGAAAATAAAAACTGTCGTTACGAGCTTTTGCCGTGCGTTTGCTGTATTTCTACCTATAGGTGTCTACCGACTTGAGTCCTGAAGAGGAGTCGTCATGCAGGTCTATACTAATGTTAGTCTGCTGTTCAGTAACGTTAAGTACTCTGAGAATCTAACTACTGTAGCTGCTGTCTGTGCTCTGACAGTCACTACTCGCTTTCTTCTAACTTCTAACCATCCTTTGCTCCTTTCCAGAGAAGTAGTGGGAGTCCTGTGACAGCCTTCAAAGGAAGCCACTCCTCCTCCAGCTCCTCCCCTTTCAATTAATGCCATATGGCAGCTCCTTCACTCAGGCTGATTCCCACATTCACCTCCTAATACTCGCTACAACTCAGCAGGGCCAAAGGGGAATTCACCAGTGATGAAATTTAACTTACTCAAGCGTTTAAAGACAAATTCAGGGTACTTGTACTTTGCTTGAATATTTCCATTCCATGCTACCTGATACTTCTAATCCACTACATCTCAATGGGAAATTGGTCTTTTCTACATTACATTTGACTGATAGCTTTTGTTACGTCAAGGGAAAATTGTCACTTTTTTTTTACATTCTCCTTCATAACTTACACCATCACCTTCACGAGAATGTAATGGACGAGGTCACAGTGATGTTGGCATTTGACCTTCAACAACCAAAGTCTTAGTTCATCGTTTAGTTCAAGTGGACATTTACACCAATTTTGCAGAAATTCCCTCAAGGCATACTTGAGATATCACCTTCAGGAGAATGAAATGGACAAAGTCACAGTGACCTTACCTTGACCTTTGACCACCAAAATCCATGTGAATTTGTGTACCAAATGTGATGAAATTCCCTCAAGTTGTTCTTCAGATATGGCGTTCATGAAAATAAGATGCGGTGGCAGTGACTTTGACCTTTTACCACCAATATCTAATCAGTTCTTCGTTGAGTCCAAGTGGATGTTTGCACTGAATTAAAAAAAAAAAAAAAAAAATCCCCTACAGCGTTCTTCAGATATCGCGTTCACAAGAATGGGATGGAAAGATTGACGACCTGAAAACATAATGTCTCCAGCCACTGCTTACAAATGATTTTCTTAATGCAAGTCAGTCAACTGGGGAACTTTTGCGGTTATACCTATCAGGCTATGAGTTTTACCCTAATTCACCTTTAGTGTCTCCCCTCAATCAGGGACAAACAATGTCATCAAAGGCTTAAATCATTAACAAATATTTATTAAATGTAAAAGAAACAAAAGAAAACCCAAACACGAAAGAACACACTCACAAACAAATCCTTAAATTAAAGCTTCTACGAGTGAATAGCTGGCTTCTTTATGTCACTGCTCTTTGGAGTGCAAAGACTCAATTTGTGCTCCATTAACTAACGTCAGAGAAAAGAAAAGTGTAGAACATAATGTGAAATAAACTTAACAATAAGGTGAGGTCAGAATTATAATAAAGTCACATCAGCAGCTCCATCCATGATTGTTTTTTCCACTGCATAGGATCAAAAAGTATATTCAAATACTTGGCACAGCGTCTTAATGGCAGAGTTTCACATCCAAAAAGTTCAGAAGGTGTCAGCATACAGCGGCGGGGGAGGAAGAAACTCCAGCTCTGTGAAGTCAACCTCCTGTTCACTGTCATACAAAAACACATCACAGTTCATGAGGAGGATGCCAAACAACCTGAAGTACTGGCTGTGCAATCTATAAGTGCTGATATAAATAAAGATCAAACAGCGGCAAGCTTCACTCGCTGTTTAGAGGGAAACCTGTCAACACTTACGGATATGGAGGCTCCTCAACAGCACACAAGAAGCCTGGATAAAGACGAGCAGATACAAATGTCACGTTAACTTTGAACTGTCTCTGCACCATGTCTCCAGTTTACAGCAATCAGATAAATGTACCCTACAAGTGATTTTCCATTACAGGCAGGACGCCATGCTGACTGTCCTTAAAGAGATGTGTAAGCACCGTCCTCTTAGCTTCACCATTATCAGTGAGAGTAACACAAGTGGTGACGACAGTGGAGTCATGGAAAAGAAAATAAACTCTGTAAACTTACTTGATGACTCAGCACTTTGCAAAGGTTAGCATGGATAAAATGAGGAAAAGAAATTTTAATTTGAGGATTGTTGAGAACAGATTTTGAATATGACAACTTCAGTGGACATAATAAGATAACTTTAATACTGTACTTTGTAGGTGTAGGTCCGCCACCATCAAGGATGTCACCAAATTCATCTTTGCCATGTTGAAAGAAGATGGCTAGTTTCTGCAGGGCCTCATGTCTGGTCCTGAAGGTGGAAGACAAGAAACTGATTAGGAAAAAATTAAACCAATCATTAGTATCGTCTTTCATCTCTACCATAGACTGTATTTAAAGATGGACGACATGACAGCTTCCCACAAGTAAAGCCAAAACATCTCTATTATCGCCTCCTGGTGGCTGGCTGCAGTACAGGTCTTAAACCCCGCTTCCTCCATGTTTGCAAATGGGACATAAACCAAGCTAATAGATCAAAGTACACATCAAATACATTTTTTCCCAAAGATGTTTTCTGTCATTTTCACGCTGATGTTTGTTCAAGTGTTTGTTTTTCTGATAGGTTTGGTTTTAATTACCTTTTAAATGCAATGAAAAGGGGGTGCGATGCCACGAAGTTGCATGGCACAGCAGAGGACGTACTTCCTGTGGCAGCTGAAGAAGTTCAACCTGCCAAAGACAATGATAGTGCACTTCTACACTGCCATCATGAGTCCATTCTCACCACCTTCATCACAATCTGCTGCCACAGTAAAAGACAAGGGCAGACTGCAACATATTGTGATTGGCTGCAATCTGCTGCCCCTCCAGGACCTGTACATCTCCAGGACCCGGAGGCAAACAAGAACAAATTTTGGATGACCCCTCTCACCCTAGACACAAACTCTTTGTTACACTCCCCTCTGCCAGGAGGCTGCAGTCCAAAACCTCACGCCACAAAAGCAGTCTCTTCCCAACTGCAGTGGGCCTCATTAAAGCACATCTAGGACTATTATCTCTGCACGTATTTACTCTACTGTGATCTTTTGCACATCCTGCACAAAACTGTACAGCTTATTCTGAAACAGATATCTTGTCTGCACTCCCTGAAGAAATATAATTATATTTTTGGAAAAATGAAAGAGTGATTCCAGAGAGAAGCAGACAGAGGGGTGTACAGTCTGTGTTTGAAGGATATATCCTGAATGTCAAACTGACTCAGCAGCAACAACAGGTTAAAAAGACAAAGATAGTTCGAAGCTTAAGCCGAACTATAGGCTACAGATCACAATGTAAAAGTGAACCACCACATCACTGCTGATCGCCACCGGAGACAATGAATATAAAGGGAAACTTTGCTGATATTGAACCAGCTGTGTGGCATCGCAGTGTGTGCAGATGAACAGTGTTTGGCTTTGCCCCCATGCCGCTGATAGCACCTGGACCTCTGCCAGAAGTCAAACAACGTTCATCTGCGCACAATGCGATGATACACAGCTGGTTCAATATCAGCAAAGTTTCCCTGCTTCCCTTCACTGGTTCCTGTACAGCAGGGTCGGCCTTTTTTCACTGTTGTAATCATTAAAAAGCAAAAGCAGCATGTGTATACATTCAGTAGGCTATATCTCCAGTAGCTAGCTAGCTAACCCTACACTTTTCAGGGTTTGATTTTTGTTTTGGAACAGGGAAGAAATTTATTTCTTTTTCCAACCTCTCCAGGTAATGAGTATCATTAATACACGACGTGCCCCAGGCACAACATTTAGCTCCAAATCCACAAAACCAACCCGAAAATGAAGGAAATCTGAAATGATTGCGTTAGAGCTGTGTTGTTGTCGGACCCTGGTCTGAGCCGGCCGATGCTACATTATGGTCGGCCAGTCCGCATCTGGGGGCGGGTCTTATGCCAGATCATCGCTACTGAGCAGACTCTGGCTCCAAATGATGTCACCAGTGCAATAAATTTTGGCTTTATTTTTGTCCAGTGGGAAGTGTAGCAGTGTCCTCCATTTTTATTTACAGTCTTTGATCTCTACTATAATCATACAGAGAACCAATGTACAATGTTTGCCATTATCAACTTTTCTTTCCAATGTTTATATTTAGTTACTCATGAAGAAATATAAAGGTGAACACATTCATCATATGTACACTCATCACCTTGAGAAGAGGTGCATGTAGAAAGATTTATATACATATGGCTGAGCAGAAACGTGACCAGGTATGTGTTTTGTAACTTACTGTGTGTGCAGGTCTTCCAGGTTGGCATCGCTCAGAGTGTGCTGGGCGCTGACATGACCACATGCTGTCAGAGCAAACACATGAAGGGCAGAGGTGGGTGGGTGGGTAAGTGAGGGAGGGATGAGGGTGAGTTATGCAAGGACAGTAAAACAGAGGAGGGAGGGAGTAAGGAAGCGGCAGCGTAAAAGTGCACATCAAAGGCATGTTACAGTCTGCCATATGTCAATGCATAATATAAAACAACCACAGGCAGAGCTTGCTTTAAACCAGAGGGCTGAGTGGGGGGAAACACATGTTCTGTTCTCATGTTTTCACTTCAAAAGGACCGGATATAAAATGTACTCACACATCTCAGGCAGGGAGGCAGTCTGATGGGAAAAGTTACTACACAGAAAGAAGAGAAAGAAAATAATTATATATACTGTGCGCCACATAAATTCGATCACATCTTTTAGGGGGGATTACTTAAATGTACTCTCATGTGGTCAATGGTTTCTGTTATTCTTCTTAGAAACACACTGATCTGAGAGAAACGTTAAACCACAGAACTTACTGGCTTTCATCTGTGGGTGAGAGGGTCTCATCTTCACATGCCCACTCCTCACTGTCATCTGTGACTGTGGAAAAACAAATTAGTTTGATTAAGCACACTGTGCAGAATGATGATAGATGTTTGGCAGGGTGGAAACTAAAACTCTCAGCTTAAATGGAATTCCTCCACAATCATAAAACAACACATGGCTGTCAAGCAGATGACAACTAGTTAAGTTATTTAGGTTTCCAAACTCTGTGCTTCTGTTTTCTGTCTGTCAACAAGTCCATGCATTATATCAACCAGTTAACTTTGGATGTTCTGTATCTATAAGGCTGCAGTGCTTTGAGATGTCAAAGTAACTCATGCAAAGTTAGGGTTAGAGGTGATGGTACAACCAGTCTAACAATGGTAAGTTAACCAAAGAGCTTAAAGGGATAGTTGGGGATTTTTTTATGTGGGGGGTGTATGAGGTACCTATCCAAACTTCTTACCTACAGTATTACACTGTTGTTTGGATGATTAACACATTGAAGCCTGAGCAAACATGGAAGAAGGCCATGAGCAATGAAAGAAAAAATGACCCCAAAAAATTAGCAAGAAATTAGTAAGAAGAGAAAATTATAAACAAGAAAATCAATTAAAAAAATGGGGGAAAAAAATACAAACAAGGAAATGACCTGGAGAGAGCAGTTCAAATTATAATAATCCTGTGACACATTTTTAAATGTAATGATAATTTTCCACTTTTTTCCTCCTAGTTTAAAAAAAAAAATCTGCAATTTGTGAGACATTCCTTACCAAGTTGCTCATTATCTTTTTCCCCATGTTTTTGAAAGAAATTGCACCAATTTTCTGAAGGTTCAAAAGTTTAAATACTTGCCAAAGGCGTCTGAAAGCAGCAAAGGAAAAGTGATGTCACTCTAGGTTTTAAAGAGTTAAAGCGCTCAGCACACCCCGTTTGGGAAAACAGGCAGTACTACCGCCACGGATGCTAAGCAATGTACTGTTGTAGACGGGAGCAGCAACGAAATGTATTTTAGCCACCTAAAAATCAGTTTAAGTGTTAGTTTGTGTATGGACAATTAGATGGCAGTAACCGCTTCAGTACCCCATCAGAAATGGCTGTCTGACTCCCAGGCCACACTACCTGCATGTCCTGTAACCTTGTTATTCATTTCAGTGCCCGTGTTACCAGTTTACAGCAGCCCCACTATGCTGCTCAGCTGAGAAACATCTACAGCAGTGGTTCCCAAATAGTGGGTTGCAGGCCAAAAGAGAGTTGCAGGTCCATTCTGAATGGACCACAAGTGACTGGCAAGCGCATCAAATATCTAAAAAACACACTTTATTTTGAAGTACAGTACAACGCTTTTTTTTTTTCTCCAAGTGAGGATCAGAATATATGCAGTTCACATAACCTGGTCAAAATTATTATAAGATCCACTCATTAAAAACTAAAGTAATTGTCAACGTTGTCGGTGAAATTTGAGGTGTGCTGATGGATTCACGTCGTCAACTCATGCAGTAACATTACAAGTTAGTGTTCCACCTTAAAAGTCGCTGGCAGTTGGCAGCTGCAGCACTTCAGCAGGCAGTGTGGCCTGGGCGTGATAACAGGTGGTGAAAATTTTCAAAATACTGCTTACACTTAAACTCATAATGATTTTTTTAGGAGGCTAAATAGTGCCCCATCCACAACAGTACATTGCTCACTATGGATAAATACCTCATACAACCCCACTTCAATAATCTGAAATATTCCTTCTAGGTTTTAGTGCAGAGGCTACTGACACTTACAGCTGCTTGTCAGCACAGGGTGGCTAGAGGATCTGCAAAACAAAGAAGAGTTAGGAACCAATTTTTGAACAGCAAGCACAGGCTGGTTACAAATCTTTTTTAAGTTTAGAAACCAAAGAATTTTATCAGTGAGCTGCCCAGTACCTGCTCCCAATGCTGATGGTGTCTCCCTCCACGTTGCCTCCTCGTCCAGCTGCTTGGGCCTTCTTGCCAAGTTCCAGCATTTCTTTGATATTCAGTTCGACATTCATCACTGAAATATAACCGTCTGTAATACCCAGGATAGAGTGGTTACTGAAAACACTGAGAAACTAATGACACTGTGGTGTAAATGTGAGAAGAAAATAAGCCTGTTAAGAATTCCCATTACTTCAATGAGATCACATGTCATTGTTAGCCTGCTTGTTGTGCAAAATTCAGGTGAAGTTAACAAATACTCAAGCTTTAGGTCTAGATCACCACCAAGTATAAACATCCAATGGATTGTTACATCTCGAATCCTGATTTCACTACTCTTTATCACATGAACACAACAGCAACATGCATCTAAACTCACACTTGTGGTTGGAGTCTCGGGCCAACCATTTGCCTTTGGGGCAGTTGGTGGTGCGAATGATGCTGACCGTGTCGCCGTTCTTCACTGGCAGGTCATTCTTGCGAACTTTGCTAGCCACCATCACCTTGGCGTGGTACATGGGCTCCTCTTCGCCGGTCACCTAGAGTGTCAGCAAAGAGAGGCTGTGGTTTGGACTGATTTTAGAGTAGCTAAGCAGAGCATTGTTTAACACTGTTCATTGACCATCACTGTGATACTATGATGTCCATTAAAATTAGAGTTGTACCGATACCGATACCAGTATCGCAAATGTCTCAGATACTGCCTAAAATGCGGTATCAGCGAGTACAGCCCATGACCAATCCGATAGAACGTAATGCCTCACATCATTACGCATACACACTCTACAGGGAAACGAAATGGAAACGGAGTGGAGTTTATAAAGCATTCTACTGTAGCCTTCAAAATGTCTTTTTTACCAAATTGTGTGGCTGCACTTTAACCTGTGTCTTGATCTGTGTCAACACTGGATAATAATAAAAAACGTTTTATGGCATTCATTCTACTATTATGTATTTATTTCTTAATATTTTACATAGAGTTTTAGGAGTTGAGACATACAACAGTTCATATCCCATCCATTTTTATTTTAAGGGCTGGTATCGGATCGGTACTCTGTATCTGCAGATACCTACAGTTCAGGGATCGGTATTGGGAAGGAAAAAGTGGTACATCTCTAATTAAAATGCAGGATTTGCCAAACCTAAGGACCTCTATGTGACAGGTGCAAACAGACTCGACCATCTACCATGTGTCGTGGTTGTGCCCAAAACGTGCCCCTTTCTGGTCATCCTCTATTGACAAAACTTCCAAGACTGATGGCTGTAATACAGTACCATCTCATATAACTGCTATTTTTGTTTATTCTCAGTTCCAGATGAGTCCAATCTCACTGCTCACACACAGAAAGCCATTGCCTTTTCCTCTCTATTAGCTAGATGCTCAGTTCTACTTAAATGAAAGGGTGTTACCCCTCACATTTCAGCAACCATTTTATTATATCTTCTCAAGGGACAATACTATAGAAATGAAATTTGGATATACTTTAGAGTAGTCAGTGTACAGCTTGTATAGCAGTATAGATTTACTATCCACTGAAAATAACTCAACACACAGCCATTATTGTCTAAATAGCTGGCAACACAAGTGAGTACACCTCACAGTGAACATGTCCAAATTGTGCCCAAAGTGTCAATATTTTGTATGAGCACCATTGTTATCTAGCACTGCCTTAATCCTCTTGGGCATGGACTTCACCAGTGCTGCACAGGTTGTTGCTGGAATCCTCTCTCACTCCTCCATGATGACATCACAGAGCAGGTGGATGTTAGACACCTTGCGGTCGTTCACCTTCTGCTTGAAGATGCACACAGGTGCTCAATTGGGTTCAGGTCTGGAGACATACTCGGCCACTCCATCACCTTCCCCTCAGCTTTCTCAGCAAGGCAGTTGTCATCTTGGAGGTGTGTTTGGGGTCGTTATCATGTTGGAAAACTGCCATGTGGCCCGGTATCCGAAGGGAGGGGATCATGCTCTGTTTCAGGACATGTTGGAATTCATGTTTCCCTCAGTGAACTGCAGCTCCTCAGTGCCGGCAGCACTGATGTAGCCCCAAACCATGACGCTACCACCACCATGCTTGACTGTAGGCAAGACACAATTATCTTGGTGCTCCTCAACAGGGCGCCGCCAAACATGCTGGACACCATCTGAGCCAAAAAAAGTTTATCTTCGTCTTGTCAGAACACAGGACTTGGTTCCAGTAATTCATGCTCTTGGACTGCTTGTCTTCAGCAAACTGTTTGCGGGCTTTCTTGTGAGCCAGCTCCAGAAGAGGCTTACTTCTGGGACGACGGCCATGCAGACCGACTTGATGCAGTGTGTGGCATATGGTCTGAGTACTGACAGGCTGACCTCCCGCTTCTTCAACCTCTGCAGCAATGCTGGCAGCACTCATGTGTCCGTTTTTTGAAGCCAACTTCTGGATATGACACAGAGCATGAGGACTCAACTTCTTTGATCGACCCTGGCGAAGCCTGTTCCGAGTGGAACCCGTCTTGGAAAACCGCTGTATGACCTTGGCCACCATGCTGTAGCTCAGTTTCAGGGTGTTACCAATCTTCTTATAAGCCTAGGCCATCTTTGTGGAGAGCAACAATTCTATTTCTCACATCCTCAGAGAGTTCTTTGCCATGAGGTGCCATGTTGAACGTCCAGTGACCAGTATGAGAGAATTGTACCCAAAGCACCAAGTTTAACAGCTCTAATCCATGACACACCAATTTGTATGGTCCAGTCAAGCAGGCAAACACATGAACATGACGAATAGGACAGGTGGCTTTGCATGTTTGAACAACATGTACAGGTATCACTAGGGCTGTACTCACTTTTGTTGCCAGCTATTTAGACAATAATTGCTGTGTGTTGAGCAATTTTCAGTGGACAGTAAATCTATATTGCTATACAAGCTGTACACTGACTACTCTAAAGTATATGCAAGTTTCATTTCTATAGTATTGTCCCTTGACAAGATATAATAAAATGGTTGCTGAAATATGAGGGGTGTACTCACTTTTATGAGATACTGTAAATAAACAGACACGTATTAATACATACACGATAAAATACATATAAAAGAATTAACAAATACATGTTGAAATAGATAAATGCGTAAATAAATAAATATCTTAAATTTATCTCTACATTTTGTACAACTACATTGATTTCTGTAATTCTTTACATGTATGGTAACATGGTAGGAGGTCTTCACCTCTAAATGAAAACTGATCATTACAGGCCTTTTAAAAAGCAAACAAGAGGAAAAAACTGCTCTTCAAAACTGAAAAATGTTTACCCTGTAAGTCATTTTATTGCCTGACTTACTTTGAACTTCTTTTTCATTTCATTTTCCTTCTTCTCCCTTTCTTTCTGCTCCTTTTTCTCTTTCTCCAGTCGCTGTTTTTCCCTCTTCTTCTGCTCTTTGTGGTCAGCAGTGTTGGGACTTTGGCGTTCTTTACTGAAAACAAATCAGACTGTTCAGTGGCAAAAGACTTATTTTCCATCAAGATTACATTTGCCACCTGAAAAATAAACAGAACCATATGCTAGTGAAAAACATAACTGAGTAAGATCTTTTTTTAAAGTTGCTGTCAGTGTGAAAACAGAAGGATCGGGCATATATCCAGCTGTATGAGAGGGGAGATGTCTAACATACCTGTGGACATGATTATGGACCAAATGAGCGTGTTCTCCTGATACACTGCCCCTGCAGTTTGATTACAAGAGAAAGCAAAAATCAATGGCTGTCCTCCATCTGGCAAAAACCAATGTCAATGATAAAACACAGGACTTGTATGTTTGAAAAAGGGACATACCATGGATTCCGCGGCCATATGTTAAGAGACGCCTCCTCCTTCTGCAAATAAACACACAGGATTTTTAATTTACCACAGATGATTGTTAAAGAGAGAGGGGCACATTGTTTCTTCACTGCACAGTATGTGTCTCTGAGCATAAACTTCACTGTTCTCTTGTTACTTAATCACTGAGATCATTATATACTCAATTAAATTTAAAAATTAGTTACCGTGTGGTGGTTGTCAGCATATGGATCTGTGAAAATGGTTAACAAGGAAGTTAAACAGGGAAAATTATATGTAAAAAAAAAAAACAGTCATACATTAAGAAGAAACAGTGACTACATTTACATACATAAAATATTCTGTTTTTTTGCCCTTACACAAAGAAAGACAATATTCCTACTAAGCTGTTTACACAGCTAATGAAAACAAATATTTGTGTTTATGTGCAGCAGTGCACACTCCAATCAATGTGCCCCAACAAGGGATGCGTGTGATTAGTCGACTGGTCGATAAAAGGACGCTATCCTCGCTAGTCCACAACAGAAATACTAGTTGATAAACCTGTTTTTAGAATGATCATTTTGCGTCTGCACTCACACAGTGAAAGATTTATTTTCCTGAAGAACACCGTTTCCAATAAATCCCATTTCTTAACTTCTGTTTATTAAGTTATTCTCACATTTAGCAGGATAGTACGCAGTGCTCATGATGCACGGTGCAAAGTGCTACACATTTCAATGGCATTTAAAATACGATTTAATTGATGATTGAGTTATTTTTCAGACCATAGGCCCATTTCCACTTAAGAAGTTCCTGGTACTATTTGGGGGGCAGGAACTTTACAGGACTGTCCTCTCGCTCAGCTCTCTCAACCGCTGTGTCTCCACCGGTAACACAAGTTACCGGGCTCTGGATGTGACGTAATCGTTGCGCGACCATTTTGACCAGGGCGACACTGCAAAGAAACAAACAAAGAAGAACAACAACAACAAAGAAGAAGAAGCAGAAGTATAAAGCAGAAGTAAGAAGAAGAACGCATACATAAGAAAGGCGATTATCAACATGGAAGGAGTTTTAAAAATGCCGGCTATTTTGTCGATTTCTGTTGACGTCACATTCCGCTTTGAGTATATCCAATCAGCACCAAGTAAACCCCAAGCCCCACCCAGGAGTTTTTCGGGGCTGTTCTAAGTACCTAAACTCTGTCCTTCGGGGGTGGTTCCTGCGGTGGAGACACGCACCAACGGCCCCGGCCCCGAAAAATTACCCCGAAGTTCCTGCGATGGAAAGGGGCCTCATGTCTAACCTTATAAATTGTGCTTATGGAATAAATTTTACCTGTTTTCTGAGTGCTTTCTTAATTTTAGAATAGATGGCTAATCAAATGTGCCTGTGGATATTCTCATTTATCCAGGTCATAGTTATCCTAAGGCAACTGTGACTCCAACGACTCCAATGACCACTGTTGCAGCAGGAGTTTCAACGACCGTCATCGACACACCTTGGAGCACTAATGAAACAATGACATCAGTGGCCTTGTGAAAGCCTCCTCAGAGGTTAAATACCTGCGTTTCCACACCAGTTTTTCAGACTAGTTCCAGCCTAGTCAGACAAGCATGAACAGATGAAGCCTCTTGGATAAGAGGTGAAACGTCTTTTAAGACAAAACTAAGTCCAGTTGCATTCGATTCAGTTGCCTTGAGATGACTAATCAAAGTTTCAATTTCCGTTTAAATGTCAGATACTTTGGTCATTAGCAACACCCATTGCCCTACAATGATGTTTATGTCAAGATATGGAAAGTGAAATGGCAGGAGCCGCTTTTGCCATTTTGCTTCTTGATTTGACTTGTTCAACTGCTCATACACAGCCTCCCTCTTTCACTCTTTCAACCACCTCCTTGAAAAGGGTCAGCACTGCTATATTTGTGCATGTGAAAAAACCTGCTGATATCAAAGTCTTTCATAATTTTTAAAAGTAGGTGTGTTTCTCCTTCTGACTAGAAATGTGGGCTTTTCTTTCAGCCATGCCTCTCTGCCCCTGCCTTACAAACTGAACCAACCATAAACAGGCAAGAGGCTGTGTGAGGCATATTCTTAATGTGCTGAATGCATGACTAAAGGATGCTCCATTTGGAAAAAGGCCTGATTCGGATAATACAAACAGATTATGGTGTGCACATGACCTGTATCAAATTCAGAATGTGGTCATATTCGGACTAACAGTGGAATATTAGTGTGCTTGTAAACGTAGTCATTGAATTAAGTAAACATTCTTACTTTTCAGACCTCCTTTTCGTTTACGCGAGTGCTGGCCCAAGATCAATTTGTTGATGTTCTCGACGTCCTCGTACACATTATCACATGCTTCATAGTAACTGTCCTGTCCAGATACACTACAGGGGAGCAAAACAAACAAATAGAACGAACAGGAAATGTTATAACACACCAGAATGTGACAAAAGTGATCAAAGTGTGACTGTGGATATCACAAAACTCACTTTGGATGTGACTGAAGCCCATTATTCAATGCTGCGTGGTCACCATTGTCTGTTTCCTGTGCAGCAGAGTGAGACTCAGCAGCTCCCTGTTCAGTCTCCTCAGCATGAGGGCTAGAAGGAGGCTCTACGATGGCCTCCTCGCTCTGAGACCACTGCTCTGACTCAGCAGGCTCTGGGAACTCTGAAAGGTTTATTGGTTCAGGGAAGCTGTCTGGGTCGAGGGGGATTATGTTTGGACTGCCAAGGTTCAGATCTTGGACACAGGTGCTCATTAAGGGCTCGGCGGGATCACACGCTGATACATCAGGTTGTGGATTCTCGAAATCGGTGACCCCATGGTCATCTGGTGCAGGAAAGTCAGTGCTGACTAAGTCTAAGGCCTCCAGTTCTAGAGCACCAATGTCAACAGCTTCACCCTCTAACATTTCAATCTCTGTACTCTCAAAGTCTGGAAACTCGGGAGCGTCGAGTACAGAGTTGGAGATGGATGGGAGCTCAGACACTGGTTCTTCGCTTGGTGCTTGGCTGAGACCTGGTGACACCTCTAAAATGAAAACAAAAATCAGCACTTGAACAGATGTTAAACCTTACCACAAATCAGTACAATGTAATCGTTCAACAAAAATAAAATCTACCACAAATTATACATTTAAACAGCTATCAAATACAAAAAATGTCCCCTGGGATCTATATCTATAAATCAACAGGTGATTTCCTTCTTTTAGTAAAATCTTAAATGATTGAGTTGTTTTTTTTCCACCTGGACCTTTATGCTCTGCCATTTCTCCTCTAATCATCACACTATAACCTGTGACAGGCTGTTATGATACCACAACTATCACTCATTCACTTTTTTGTAGTTTTTTGTCTAGCTGTGAGCATCACGTAGGTTTACATTACCAAAGGTTTATGACAAAATCACTTGATGACACCGACTCCTGTGTGCTCACGGCGAGAGAGGGAGAGACACTGTGCTGCTGCCAGAGGAGCCGCTGAATGAGTTCCCTCTGAGCTGTAAGTCACTAAAAGAGTCTGAGAAGTCCGGGGCTGTTCATAAAACATTCATGACGCCACAGTTTATTCCACACTACTGAAGCTGCTCCTCTTTTTGGAACCACAGCAGAGTCCGTAATAATTTCGCTTTCGGTCATGCTTGTTGTTGCCGTGGGTAACAGTGTGATGTCAAAATGTCAACAAGCTGAAATTATTAGTAAGCTATCGGTTTTGTCCTGTTCCAGACTACTGTTAATGTATCAGCCTTTGATAATCCACCTCTAACCTGCAGTACAGATAATACACAACACAGGGTATCAAAGTAAAATACAACTTTTTTTCCATCTGCAGCCAGAGAAGCAGGCTAACATACCGTTATCTGTGAGTTGGTGGTAACAGCTGAGATCTACTAATGGAGGTCTGGGGGGCTTTGGTGGCAACAGGCCCAGGGACCTCACGTCAGGTAGAGGCTTCTTTGGAGGAGCGGAGGTTGGATGAGGTTCAACAGAGGGAAGAGCTTTACCTCTGTCAAAATGCTTATCCAACGGAGACTCTAGCCATTGGGAAATAAAATATCGCAACTGCATTAGAAATCGAGTCTATACAAGTAGTGTAAAAAGAGAAGGGTGTCTGATGTGGACCAAAAAATGTTTATCACTGGATATAACTTACTGCGTGATGAGTGGTTTGCTTTGAAGAAAGGTCGGGCTGACAGACAAGCCAGGTGGGGAAAACACGCTGGCGGGGGCACAGGTGGCTCAGGCTCAACACAGTCAGCGTTCTTTGGCAGTGAAGGGAACACCTTGTCTTTTGAGATGTAGTCAGGGGAACGTAAGCTCTTAGGTTTGGCAGAGATCAACACATGACTGCGTGAAAACTTCCTCTTGGCCCTCTCCAAGGTGCTAATGATTTTGTGTTCGGAGTCGACACTTGTATCTGCAGGAGGAGGGGTGATTGGGATATCTGGGCTGGAGAAGGGAAGCTCAGCGGTAGATTGGTCACTGTGAAGAGAAACCCCATCCTCTGTTGTTTGCTTTTCTACAGAGGGCAACTCGCCGGGAGCACTGGAAGGTCTGGTGGTTAAATCAGCATACGTAGGCTCCTCCACATTTTCTGTGCTGACCTTTGATGCCTTGGCAGACTTAAAAGGAAGCAGCAAACCTTTCTTCTTGATTTTAGTTTGTGGCAGGACTTCTTTCCCTGGATCTGGTTCCAGTTTGTGCTCCTTTTTGGATGGCGGTTCTGTCTTTTTCTCCTTCACAGGCAGGACAGGAAGCACCAGAGGCATGTGTCTGTCTTTGAGGGACTGCCTTGTTGTGCTGTCTCCATTAGTAAGCTGGGATGAGGGGGAGGTCTGTTGAGGTTGTGGTGGAAAGGAAATTGGTCGTTTGCCTCCAGATGCCCGCAGCCCATCTCTGAAGATGACCCGGGGAACCACTGGTGTCTTGTTTTCCACAGCGATATTAATACTGCTGACCACAGAGCTGCAGTGACCCCCAGGAGGTGGGAGGTGTTTGGGTTTCTCTGCAACAGCTGGTCGACTGGTTTTGGATTGAGCAAGAAAGGCCTCTTCCTGAAACTTGGCCCTCAGAGCTTTGACGTTCATCAGCCCTTCCTTGAAAAGAAGAGAGAGAAAAATCGAGAATCAGTAGATTAATAGAAATGCCATAACTTTCACAGACAATTTACTAGATGGTTAATTTTGGGAGCCAAACCCCAGTGCTGACACAACATAATTTAAGGGTTGGTTTACCGAAATTACAAAAATTACTCATTCCCTAGGGGTATCTAGTTATGCAGATAGTTTTGGTTTAATATGCTGAGGCTTTGAAACATCTCTCTCTAAGATTTATGTCTTCACCTCGATACAATGGTGGTGAATGGTAATTTGTCTTTGAAAACCTCTTTCCAGAAGTAGAGTAGAGCTTCAATGAGCCGCTGTTTAATTGATTTGTCAAATACAATTTAGATGATGGATAGAGACTGAAGCTCTGAAGCTTGTTTCACTCTAATACACCGTGTCTGAGCTTGCATCAGATGGGGAATACCACATGAGCTTTAAACGTCATCTGTCCTCCAGGAAGTGCTTCATTCAGTTTGACAGCTTCAATAGTTTTGCAGCTAAAATTCGATTATTAATATGGTGATAGATTTGTCTCAATATTATTTGTGTGAGCAGATTAAAAGTCTGTGTGTTAACACGTAGTCTGTACAAATAAAACACCTTCCACAAACACAAATAAAGATTTGTAAACTCACAAAACTATTCTGTAGGGATGCACAGTACTGGCTGGTTCTGATATTTAATTTTAAAGCCAATATGCTAATCCAATACCAATACTGATGACGTGCCGATATTATCGTGCATCCCTACTATTTTGCACATGTAAAAACAGATTAGCAAATTCCAAAAATAAATATCTGTGAATACTTCAAATTAATTTACAAATAAATAAAAGGCAGTTGTGAATATCTTCCTCATATTTACTACTTTCAAAGAGATATTAGTGAGTCCAGTCTTCATATGTGAATCTCAATTCTAAGATTGCAGATTTTGCATTTTTCCCTCCATTATTATTATTTTTTTAAAATGTGTCTATTTACAGATCTGTTTTATACTTGCAAAATATTTGTGAGTTTACAAATCTTTTTGCATTTGTGGAAGTTGTTTGGTATTTACAGATTACACATTTACACACGATCTCACACACATAAAGCTGAGACAAATCTATCACCATGCACTATGCTACAGATAATAACTGAGAAATAATGTCATCTACACTAGGAGACATAATCATGAGTATGAGATTTCTACCTGATACCAAGTAATAAGGTGATAAAATGAATAAGCTAATTAAATCATTCTCCAATCACATCTATCATAAAGTTAAAGCTTGTGAGCCGACAGTGACACTGAGCCTAAACGTACACACACACTAATAAGATACATTAAGGTTTTGGGTCAGCAAAATATTTTATACGTAGGCTTTTTTGATAATGTATTAATTAGTTATTTCACGATAACCTGTTGCACTACACCATAATGCAGCACATCAATGCAGCATTAAAACTATAAAATCAGAGGGATGTTGTGGTGCTTCAGCCTGTCCAGGAGGGTTGCTATACATTTTGCAAGCCACCAGATGTCGCTGTGTTTGCTGCGTTAAAACCCCCAAAACTTTAAATCTTTTTTGGCACAAATAGACAGAAAGCCCCAAAGCTTCATAAGACCTAATAATCAACCAATCGTAATTTGACTAACAAATGTGAACATTTGTTAGTGCTCTTATTCTTCTACAACTGTAAACTGAATACATTTGGGGTTCGGACTGATGGGTGGACAGTCCAAAAACTTTTTAAGGGCATCAACATGAGCTTTTGGGAATTGCGATGGTCATTTTTCACATTCTTATGACATCCTCTGAAGCAAACAATTAACATATTATTATTAACATATTTTGAATAAAAGATGCTGCTGCTGAATTTTTTAATGTCATTTCTCAATGCTGTGAAGACCAAAGAAGAAATTCTATTTGTAGCCATTGTTTTGAGGTGGAGGCAAATATGAAAACCTGGGTGAATAAAACAACAACTGTCTGAATGGCTAATTCACTTGTACTTCACTTGAGTATTTCCATTTTCTGCTACTTTATACTTCTGTCACGCTATATTTCAGTGGCAAATCTTGTACCTTTTACTCCACTAACTTGCAGATTGAGATTACTAACTCAAACTATAATCAAAAATAAATTATGATCTAATATTATAGGTTAAGATAAAATTCACCAGCTACCCAGCAGTATTTAAAATTGTTCCTACATTTACCTGCTGCAACATTAGAGTGATCAACACATCAATGCATCAATAATTATACTCACATACTGTACTGTAATATACACTATTCTAAAACAAGTCATTCTGCATAATGACTACTTTGACTTTTGATACTTACGCCAATATTTTTGTGCTTTTACTCATGGAAAGTTTTGACCCAGCCTCCAATTTTTTTCGCAGATCGCATAATATTTTCCCAGATGTTTCCCCCTCTGTAGTAGGTGTAAACTGGCAGACAGGACATTAACACATTCTCTTTGGACATGTCGGATATTGTTTACTTATTGGAAGAGGATATTTGAATGTTTCTCTAATGCCTTTGAGAAGAAGTGGGAAACTAACCCACTCGTTGCTGTCCAAGGTGCCACGAGTGTGTTACCTTTGGCAGACAGGTTTGAAACACAGGCCATTTCATTTGGTACGACTTTGGCAAGGAAATTTATTCTACTTATGTGGAGGTCAGACTGTGCACCAACATATTATGCGTGGATAAGAGAACTGATCAATTTATTGTACTAAGGTTAAGGTTCTCTAATAACAATAATAAGATTCAAAGATTTGTCTGAATGTAGAGCCCTGTACTCGAGTATCTCAAGGGTAGTGAATTGTAATGGTCTAAATGGGTAGCAGTATAACCGCTATCACGGTTTGCATTATATTTTAGTAGTAATGTTGAAGTCCTTGGACTTGTTTTTTGTTTTTCTACCCATAAAGAAATGTGTGGCTGAGTTGGTAAGAGGATGCACTGAGTGTTTGTTTTATATTCAAAATCCTAACATCAATGTTAAAAAAAATAAAGCCAGGTTTTTACTTGTAACGGTATTTCTACATTGATTTTGCTTAAGTAGCTACAAGAAATGGGTACTTCTAACTTCCCTCTGACAAGAAGTGACAGGGAGACAGTTTTGTAAAGTTAACTGGGTGAACCAACCATTTAATATACTACAGTATTTATAGCCGTGATAACCTTGTTAAGCCATACATTTTAATGGCACAAACTAGTGAAATAAACCGTCTAACATTAGCATAGAGCATGACAGGAAAGCTAGCTAAATTTAGCTAACCTCTGAAGGTCCTCGAGCTAAGGTTACTCATTTAAAAAACGTTAAAAGTTACCTTTTCCATCGCAGGTCGTGCCGCTCATCACTCTTCAGGTTTGTACATGTGTAAAACGGT